TTTTATATATCACTCAATCTTTTTTGGACATTTAGAATTAATGCAATCTCTACATTTTAAATGATTAGTTTTCTTAAAATTAATTTACAACTAAAAATATTTTTTTTTTCATAAATTTGACTGCTGGATAGCTCCATGATGGATATTTAATTTTGTAATATTACTATCATTATTACATAACATTACATTATTATAATAGTATTTTATTTGATTGTATATTAAATAATATTTTATTACATTATTATTGTATTTGTTTAAAGCTTACCATACAAAATATAGTAGAAAATGATGTTGTATATTTTTGTATACACATTGATATAGTTACTTAAAAATATTTTTTGATTTGGCCCCAGATTTCCTGGGGCCCTAAGCCGACACTTACCTCGCTTATTGGTTAAATCCCTCCCTGCCTAAAATATCACAGAGTATATACAGTAATCAGAGAGTAAAATTCAATACTTATTATAAATAGGTAATTTTTTTTTACTCTTTTCATAAATTTTAGAACCATTTTAGGTTTCAACTGAAAACACTTTCGAAAATTTAACTTACAGTATATTTAACAAACATAAAATTTGGTAACTAATCCAAAGCTAATACATTATTCATATACTGAATAACAAACTATTAAATCTAGCTAATTCAGCAGGTTGACACCTATCCGCTTGTTAAGTTTGACGTCACGCAAAGCGGCTTCCGGGTCCAAGCACTCTATTCAACTGAATGGGGAGACTCATAAAATGCTACTAATAAACGTTTACAAAAAGGATTTTTTACTTTCGAAAATCACAATCGCAATATATGTCCATGCCTAATATCCGATGGCCAGAAAGTCATTCATTTTTTATAAATTGTTACATTTTTTTGTATTTGTTATGCAGCAAGCCCAGAGATTGTTGTGTACATTATGATTTTATATAAAATTAACTTTAATGTGTGATAGGAATAAAACGTGATCATAAACGAATGATTTCTCCACTCAAATGAATGGCGGCTTGGACCCGGAAACAGTATTACATACGTCATCACTTAACAAGCAGATAGAGCTGCAGAAATAATGGTGTTGCCTTGGTTACTGCAGTAAACAAAGCAGCATGATGTCAAATCTAGCAGGATTTTATTGATTTCATAAACTACACAGCATCCTTATGTTCGCAGATTTAATTCAGGTAAACCTTACCATACAACCATACACTGCTTAATCAAAAAAATATATATAAATAATAGAATACCTTCAGAATAGCATTTAAGACTTTTTAATAATTTTTAAGGGTCTTAAATTTCTCTACATTGATTTATCAACTTTTAATACTTTTTAATACCCCGTGGACACCCTGTATCAGCCTAGAAACTAATTTTCCATTGATCTTACACTACATAGTACAATATGCAACTAAATAATAGGGAAGCTTTGAATAGGAAAGTTATCACATCTTTTTGGTTTTTTTTTTTTGAGAATGATGGTAATATGCTAAGCTAAGACCTTGAAGCTCTGCTGAATTGATTGAAAATGTGTAAAATTCAAAAGTTTATCTAAGGACTTGTAAAATGAGCCTATTTTCCAAAAAAAAAAAAGTGGAGTGTTCCTTTTGACATTAGTTAAAATATCAGTTTAACTGCCCAAATCATTGGGAAGAACTTTGTGGAAGTCAATGTGCCTATGTGTTCAGATTCCCAGCAGGCAAATGAGATCAGCATGATTGCAAAAAAACCTTTCTATTTATCTTCCTCAATTATGTGTACATTTTCACCTGTCCATGTTTTCACTTCACTGATTTAAAACAGAATCTGTGAGGTTATAATTTACGGTTTACTGATCTGTCCTCAACTGGGCCCCATATACTTTAAAGTCTTTGGTCACTGTAAGTTTCATAGTTGCCTCACTATGTTGTGGCTCACTTTACTGTTCATCTGTATTAACATTCCAGTTTCAATGTGTTTCTCACCCCTAATTGCCTTGTTGTCTGGCCATGGGCCTGACATATCTCTTTTGTATAGATGCATGCTTTTATAGACACATAAATCACACGTAGCTACATAGAGATATCCATTTTCATGTTTAATGTTTGAGTGCATGAGCCCCTAATCTCTGATGACATGCTGAGTTCAAAGACACAACAGAACAGAGGACAATGTAGGATTAAATAAACTGGTTTTAATAGTTACTAGAGTGGGCATGCCAGTCAGATTGGGTACCCAACTACCCATCACAGCCCACTCTTACTGGTTCCTCTGATAGCAAGTGTGTGTGCTTTTACTGCCACTGTTGACTGTGTTGTGAAAGTCTGCTTTCTAATCAACTCGAGTTGTAGAAAGAGTTAGAATGAGACATTAAAACGTGACGTGCTTTGATGAAATCACTGCCTCTGTCCTTTTTTGCATTGCATATATATATATATATATATATATATATATATATCATATATATATATCTATATCACATTGCAATATTGATGTTGAAATTACATATTGTGCAGCTCTACTATTTAATCACCGCCTAGTGGTTGCCAATCTTTACGAGTTTCTTTATTCTATTGAACACAGTAGAAGATATATTAATAAAAGCAGAAAACCTGTAACCAAAAACAAATCCCATGGAATGCAGGTTTTCAGCATACCTCCAAATATCTTCAACAGTGTTTGAGAGAAGAAAGAACAAGTAAAGGGTGAGTAAACTACAGAATGTTTTATTATAACTATTGTTAGAATATTACTATTATATCTATAACTAACTGTTATAGTAGACAATTTAATAAAATTAATCATTATTCATTTTTCTAAGTTAAAAAAAGTGTAATTTCTTATGTCTGAATGCTTTTAAAATCACATAAAAGTCACAGGCCTCAAAAAAAAAAAACCTTGCAAAAGGATAAATTATATGTTGAGTGATATAATCCTCTCAACATTGTATATAATTGCGAATTGATTATAGCAAATGATCAAATTGCAGTATTAATGTTGAAACGATATATTGTGCAGAAATAACAAGTTAAGGGTGAGTAATCAATGACACGATTTTTTATTTGAACTATTGTTATAATATAACTATTATAACCAACAGTGCTCTATTCTGATTGGCTAGTGAGATTTTGATGAAAGGCTCAGTGTCCTCGAAGTAGAGACTTCAGTAAGTGCACTTGCATGCACATTGTTTTTTTTTAACAATTGAGGCAGTATAAATATGATTTCACTTTCAATAATGGTTTTACATTAGTGTAAGAGTTGAAATATTGCAAATATTTTGATGTCTTTGACAATTCAAAACATGAGTTGAAAACAGGGCCAATTGACTCCACAACCCAGCAGGGGGGAATGCGGGAAAAACCAGTTCCTGCTGCATTTGCATCTGAGTATGCTGAAACTCAGCTTCATCCCCCCCATCTCACGCATATTGTCATTTCAATGTTTGAATGTTCTAGATTAACCAAACTGACTTTAACTGTCATGTTTGATATCATTTGAAATGTCTCAGTGCGATTGATACAATGGTCTCATTCTCTCAGAAATAGACATATTCAAAACAATAAATATATAACTTCAGGCATCTTTTGAACCACTGTGAAGGGTGTGACTTTTCCACTAAGTGTGAATGCCTTTTGTTATACACACCCCCTTCCTTGAGGGAATTCTTGGATTATTTAAGGTAAGGTTTGAGAAAGGCTCAGGGCGATTCTGCCTAACCAGATCAGCCCATAACATGGCTTGCTCCATGTTATGTATATTTCAAAGTCAGGATATGCATCTTTTAATTTTGGATTTATCTTTGATAATTTGATGTTTTGTATTGATCATTTATGAATTGACTGATTGAATTGGCATAATACATTTACCTGACTAATAAATTGTTATGTTTTGAATTATTCAAACAGAGTTCGTGTTATTATCTTTAGTAGATTGTGGTAATTTCATAGCACCACAAGCCCCTGTTCAGGTTAGTAGTGGACTAGGACACGGTAGACGGAGCATTGCGGCATGCTACACGATGTCTCTAGAGCTTCGACTAACAAATTGGCATTTATTCATGTATACTTAGGCTGTAAAAGGATATCTAAGGGGATAGTCCTTCACCTGTTAAACTTATAATACTATTTAGATAGTATAGTGATTATTCAAAGTTACTAATAGTTTAAGTACGACTGGTCTGCTTAATTCTATAGTAATGATCATTATATGACTAAATAGCTCTGTTTGATTTAGGAGGTAGCTGACCTATGGGGACCGCATAAAAAATATCCTAATCTGAGTAAGTAGGGTTCTGCCTTTTTAGGATAGCGGTCAATCGCCACTGTTTAGTGACCAAGACTGACATGCTTGTGCTTAAGAAATTGTATACCCGGCCGGTACAAGATTCAGGATGTGATAGGAATCCCAATGAACTAGAATAACATAAAATGATAAACCGAAGAGAATATTCAATCATAATCTAAATTAATGTGAACGGAAACAAAATAACCTTCTCAATGTTTTATAATTGGAGTCAGATAAAACGAGGATAAATATATTAATATTCTAAACCACCTCATACTAAAATTGGAGTCAGATATGAGCTAAGTTTAATATAAATCAACATTGTGCACTGGAAAGACCGAACATGCAGTGAACCTTCATCCACCATTGGATACCGTCATTGGACCAACTGGCTGGACCTTACATTAGTTTCACGGTTTAATCATATCTGGAGACACAACAGAGCAGAGCATACAATAAAAAAATCAATTAATCTTAATAGATTTTTCTTTTAGTAGTTCAAATGATAAAGTAATATACATATTTTATTTATTTTTAAAAATTAATCTTGTTTCAGGCCTTGCACTAAGGAATGTCACTGTTGCCATCCAGAACTAAGAGCCACTGCATTTTTGTCATTCCTATTGTTGGTGGCTAAATGACCAGGCTTCACAGAAACTATGCAGTGCATTATGGGATAGCAAAGGGGTATTCTTACCTTTTGTGCAATGTTTGCTGATTATAGCAGTATTCCAGACTGGTATCCCTGCCCTCAGCACACTCACAGACACTCACAGCTACTACATGCATGCATGCACTGAATCTCTGACTGTGAGCCAGGTCACCCCACACACACTGTTGCCTTTTATGCTTAAGATGATACTGCTCGTTTTGGCAGAGAACTGTAATTACCACATGCAGCCATATCGGAGGAGGAGCTTTACCAGAGCAACTGAACCAAAACATAAGTTTTATGGGTAGTAGGTGAAAACTTGTTGTTCAGTCTGGCTGATATGGTCTAGACCAGATTGATACCTGCAGTGGCACTGATGGGGAAGGCCGGGCCTGTTTTCAGCTGTATGAAACACAATGGTCACGCCATTTCCATGGAAATACAAAAGGTGAGGTAAGTTATTCCAAGCAGGAAATAATGTTTTATTTTGGGGACTAACAACAAAATAAAATAAAAAATATATACAGAAATGTAAATAATTTGTACAATTTTTTAAAAACTCAAATTCTTCCACAGACTGGACTCTGGACTGCATAAAGCTGAGCTCATTTCACGCTAGTGTCTCCCTTCGAAGCTCTAAGAAGCAAGAACTGCAGCAAATACCAGCTCAAAGAAGCATGTTCAAGTACACTCCTCCCTGGCAGGTGTTGTGCAACAGTCTAGATCATGATTTTAAGGTAAGGTTGCACAAACCCTTTCAGTGTTAAGCATACATAAGTACACCCCTTAAAATCTCTCATTTAAATTCATGCTTTACAATATTATATATATATATATATATATATATATATATATATATATATATATATATATATATATATATATATATATATATATATATATATATATTTTTTTTTTTTTTTATTTATTTTTTTTTTTTTAAAGTAAGAATCAAGAGAAACAAAAAAATATAAAATTATGCATTTTTAGTTTTTTTTTTCAACATTTTGCTTGAATTTTTATTTAAATGTATTATCTTTCAATTTCTAAAGATATTCGGTGACTAAAATTATATTTTAATAAATTTAATAAACCTGTTTTGTTCAAATGCACCAAAATCTATTACCTATATTGGCTGAGAAATGGATAAAAATATTTCTTTTCAAAATGGAGTGTATTCATTTATGCTGAGCACTGTATGTTTAAAGAAGTTCATTTATGTAAGGACTTTAAAATAAATTTTTATTCTACAATATTTTTCTTTGACCTCCTCTAAACAGCTTTATAAAACTTTCATACATATGCTGACTTTCATTCGTCTGTATAAAAAATTTAATATATATTTGTATAACACTACACTATAAAAAATATCTGTTTCTGTATTTTTTGTTTTCCTTCTATTTAAGGTTGTGAATTTGATAATAATCTCTGCTCTGTGCACATTTGATGTTGAAAATTCAACTGTACAGCTTAACAAAGTGACTTATATTGTAATTTTAGGTGTTTAAATAATATAATAAGAAAAATATTTACAAACAAATGAGTCTGCAAAATTACAGAAACTACTGGCAGCTTATTACAAGTTTTTTGCAGCATAAAATACAACACCAACTCAAACAATATATCACTTTAAACTATGAAAAATGTTCATAAAAGTTACTTTTTCCAACTTTTTAGGCTTAAGATCAAGGTCTCATAATGCAAGATCAAGGTTAAGATCAAGGTCTCATAATGCAATTCAAAAGCATACATAAAAATAAAATAATAAATATGAATCACAAAACACAGAGAACTGTTAATTTTTTGGATATTTTTACAGCGTGTTTTAAACTATCATGCTAATAAAACAACCGCTGTTTAAAGAAGTACGAGTTTGCAAGGGCTATAAAATTTATTTCATTCTACAATAATTTTTAAAACTTGACCACAGACCTTACCTAAACAGCTTTATAAAACATACAAGACTTTTATACATACTGACTTTCACTCATAAAATATAATTTGAGTTTGTACAAACTTTATGAAGCTATAGCTATTAAAATACTTGTAGCAAAATACATTTTCTGAAAATGTTTTAATTTGATTATAACATTTACTTAAATGCTGGATTCCTTTAGCTGTGCAAAAAAAAAAAAAAAAATTAAATATTAGATTCAATCATTAAACAATTATTGGAAAACTCCTTCAGAACTGCTGTAATTAAAATTGTAGTTTAGCTAAAAAATTAAGCTATTTACTTACTGTTCTAAACATGTATGTGTTTCTTCCTCTGCCCAATATATCATTTCAGGATCGATATCGCAATGTGTGGATCAGCAATAGTCAAAATGCAGGATGTGCATTGTGCAATGTTGAGTTGGGATTATAATTATCTAAAAATCACACAGGATTTGTGGAGCCTTAATGAATTTAAATATGAATCTATTAGTATAAACAATTTTCACTCTGACGTTTTTTAAGGTCTGCGACTGTAAGATTTAAAGCAAATATTAACCATTTGAAAACAAAAAATTCTAAGGTTTGCCGCGTTAAAAATGATTTATTGTTTTACTATATACTACATAATAATACTATACAGTGTTATTTTAGATTTTGTAATTGATTTATTTGCCTCAATATTGCTAGATTCCACCAAAACAAAAACCATTAAGCGCTGTTTATTTTGTTTTATCTGTTCTGTTGTTTTCATCTGTGCTTTTTTTTAAAAAAACTAAATGTTTTAATATTTTTGAACATTTTATGAAGATGCACTGGGCGCAATGGATGTAAAACTATAAATTCTTCCCAAACAAAATACAAAATATTGCAATGTCAGCTTTTTTCAATATCGTGCAGCCCTACTCTGAATACAAAAGAAGAAATGTTTGGTGGGGAAAAAAGGTAACTAGACAGTCGATTGACTATTTTATTGACTTTAAAACTCTTAGACTGCCTTCTATCAAATGGTTGACCATGTTTTTACTGTTTTAAATATTGACTGAAAGGGTCGTTTAAAGAATGACTGTTTTACATAATGGTTTACACACAAAGCACTGTTGGTTTACAAAAAAACAAACAAACATCCTGTTGCACTACTACACTTGAAAAAAACAAAAGAACAAGAAAGCTTGTTAAATGAGATTGTGAAATATTTTATGGCATACATTCTCATACGCATTTGTAGCACCTTATAACCTATATTTATAAAAAGCTGTACATACAATTCATTATCCAAATGTTTTTGACTAACTGCATCTCTGTTTAATGTCTGTTTAATGTCTTTTTTCATATTTGTTTTGTGTTGTCACTTGTCACTTTATGTACACTGGAAGCTTTTATATATAGCCAAAACAAATTCCTTGTGTGTGTAAAGCACTCTTGGTAATAAAACTGATTCTGATTAAAAAAGGTGATTTAGTTTTCAAATTTTTTTTATTTTAAATATTTTTTAATAAATTGGTCTTACACTTCATATTTTCAGATTTTTCTTAGTATATGTAATAAGTCCAGTACTTTTACAATAAACCGACATATTAACCATTTGGTATTTTAGAAATTATGGGATGTGTTGAAAAAAATACATTGAGTGAGTTAACTAGCGATATTAAGAATAAAAAAATGCAATCCAAACATTTTTTTTCTTGGTGGGGTGGATGAAGGGTTAAAAAAGCAACATTGGAAGTTAAACATTTTTTCCCAAAATTTCTTCTTTCGTATTCAGCAGAAAAAAAAGCTCATGTATACGTGTTTTCAACCAGAAGGGATGTAAACAAGGAGGCTAAGTAAATAAAGTTTAGGTTTTGAGTTGGGAAATCTCTTAAAATAGCCCAAGTTTTTTTTTTGTCCACTAGATGTCAGCATTTGTGTTTTGATTATTATTTTTAATCCCGTAGAAACATTTGCTCAAAAAGATTTAATTATCTTATTATGAACAATTCTCTACACGCTCAATTAAAGAGTAACTAGGCATGATTTGTAAAAATAAATAAATAAATAAAATACTTTTACGGCCATAAATTCAGGAATGTAATATATGAGTGTCATGCTCTGCAGTTTTCACTCCTCTCATCTGCTCTGACACGAGGGAGTTTCATTGTACAGCTCAAGTGACAGCTTCAGCTTTTATTTTAATTGCACTTCAGTTGTTAAACCTCTCTGCACTCCTATGCATACATGTAAACAGAGTTAACAAGAATGTTTATGAGTTTAGTCATTAAAAAACATTTATTTTAATTCTGTAAACAGAAGATTCAGAAACAGGCTGTACTAATAATGTGCCTGATAATTATTTTCATTCTAAACTGCATCCAAAACTATCAGTGTTTGTAGTCTGAGTGAGAGGCGTGTCTATGCGTGCATATGTGATATTAGCTGAACTTTGTCAAGTCAGTGCAGTAAAGACAGAAGCGTCTACTGATGCATGTGACACAACAGCTTCTGACTCCACAGCTGATGTCGGAAGGTGAGTGCTGCTCACTTTTTTTTTTCTTTTTTTTGGGCTAAATCGTTTTATGAAATCTTATTAATTAGTATTATTATTTTTTAATTTGAGGATAAATATTTTATATTTATATATTGTTGTCTTGTTTCTAGTCCAAATATCTAAAACTACTTAAATCAGGATAAGTTAAAAAAAAAAAAAGTATTGTCATGTGTTCTGAAATAATAAGTCCAAATCGAGTGTTTATATATATATATATATATATATATATATATATATATATATATATTATTATGAAGACAGAAGTAAACAAAATTGGCACACTGCCATTTTAGGTGACCTGATAAAGATTTTGTAGATCAAAACGTTGTTTAATTAAATAGTTTTTTAAAAACTAAAGTGGCAGTGTGACTATATTGTTTACTTTTGTTGTTATTTTGTTTGGCTTGATCAAGCACCTGCCTTCAAGATTTTTTTCTATGTGGACACTAAATCAAGCAAAATAATTTTCCAGTAGGGGATAGTAAAATAATCTTAATTTCAGTTTGAAGTATCAACTTAATTTTATACCACAAACAGATTATTTAGCTTGTTTTAAGAAAAAAACACTTTATTTTGACTTATTATTTTTTTTTAAACAAAATAATATTTTTTTTAGGATTTGGACTAGAAATTAGACAAAATATCTGTGAAAGAAATAATAATGAATCCCTACATTTATATAGTGCTTTTGTTTTGAAATGCTTTTTTTTTTTTTTTGCAGTGTATTTCAAAATAAAAAGGTAATGGGTTGATATTTAAGATGCCTAAATCATAGGAGAACAGAAAGGGATGTAATGTAAACAGTAATTTGAAACAATTAGCCTACCTGTTACAGTATGTTAAATAATAAGGTTATGTATTTTATAGAATTGACCTTCGTAAAATTGCATCTAAATATGAAACTGTAATATAGTGGCCATATTTTAAAATATTTTATGGGCTAAAGATTATTTTAAGAGTTATTTACTATTACTCTTTAAGGGTAGAGGTATTACTTGCCAGATTCAATGTTCATCAAACATTCGTGAAGCTACAGTATAATTTCTGCAATTTTTGGGACACCCCGCAAACAGTTTCAACCAATCAGCACAGGCAAAGTAGTAGTTTCCAGGAAACCAGCCTGCTGTCATTTTATCAGTAGTTCACAGTTCACGATGTCACACATGGACACCCACTGACAGTGAGCAAAACTCCCTTACAACTACGTAAGCTTGTTCAAAGCGGCAGACAGCTTTATCTATTGTTTTGATGCAGTATTTAGCACAAGGGAATAATAAATAGTTGATAAAAGACAGAACTCTCCAGTAACGTGAGGTAAGTAACAGTTTTTTTAACTTATGTAATCACTGTTTGAAGACTTGTGACTATTCAAAAATGTAATGAATAATCTAAAATATTGAAAATTAAAGACACATCATTTGAATAAACAATCAACTTCAAGTGCATGCAATATAATTTGCATTGTATAGCATTTGTTTTTCCTACTAAGGAAGTCAGTGGTTACAGGTTTTCAGCTCTCTTAAAATATCTTCTTAAGTGCTCAACAGAATAAAGAAACTCAAAGGTTTGGAACCACTTAAAATTATTAACAAGACGTCATTAAATTGTAAGCATTTTTTATTTTTGTCTTTTCATCCTTTTAAGCATGAAAGTGGTTAATTCGTTAATAAAAAAGAAGCAGGTTTTTTCAGTCAATAGGTTTTGAAGTTGGATAAACTATGACAATTTGACATAATGTTTCTATAGTAAGTAAAATATTTTATTAAAAGTAAAAAAAAAAAATTAAAAGTTGATTTTAAACAAATAAAGTTTATTAAAATAAACATAACTTCCACTAATGTAAGTTACAATAATTATAAAAACAATAAATATAAACTGGTAATAAATTGATAAACTAAATATTAAAAATATGTAAAAATAAACATCGTTAAACTAAACAGAACAAATAATGACAATTAAATGACTACATTTTGGTTATTCTACTAATAATGTTTCACAGGAAAAACATGTCAGGAATAAAAGTATCATCTGCTTCCAATGTTTTTATTAGATATTGTTATTTACAATATAATGTTCTACAGCAATTCATGTAAAATGTTTAATAAATTTTATAATTGTACTTTCTAAATGGTTTTCGCTCTTATCCTTCTAATCCTTTAAAGTTCAGGCCTCTTAAACATTGTAGGCATCTTTTTAAATTCTACACATAAATAGGTTTTTGTCAGTCCTGTCACATTTACATTAAATTTAACAAAAATGTGTGTGATAAGGCTATGACCCGGAGTGACCTCATTTGACGGACAAGAAGCTGACAAGGATGCGTTTTATCATTGAATTGTATGATTTTAAGTTTGTTTTTGTATTATTATTATTTTAGAATGACAAACTTAAGTCAGGCCCTGTCACAATTTTTAAAAGTAAAAATGTACATTTCTGGTTGAATGTCCCTTATAAACAACGAATTAACATGGTTACTAAAGCTCTCTCTCTCTCTTTTTTTTTTTTGTTACCAGAGACAGGCATCAACTGTAACAGTCAACCCATATGATGCATACACACACCCCTTAGCAGAGAAGCAGTCTGTGATCTATTCCCATTCTTCGTTGAGACCTTTGCTTCCAAGGCCTGCCCAAAATCACCCACCACCCAGAGTCCCCATGACTAGCAACCCAAAGCGTTGGGTGATAAAGCCCTTCTCCCCTAAGCTAGAGCAGTTGGATTTACGCTCCATACTGAGCCCTACTGACCAACCACAGTCGCTAGAGAAAACGTGGAGTAGCAGAAAGGACGATGATTCTTTTAATTATAGCTTGGAAAGCACAACAGTAACAGGCATGCAGCCCACTGTGATGGTGTCATCTGAGAGTGGCAAAAGCACTCCAGAAGTGGTTGTCCAGGCTCGACAAGTGTCTGTGTCTGAGGATGGAAGTGACAGTGAAGACTGGAGGCCCAGTACCCCAAGCAACCCTAGCAGCCCTAACAGCAGCACAGGTTCACATGTCGGGTTCTATTCCTTTGTAGATGACCCAGCTAGCCCAGAAGCAGAGCTTAATAAAGTTTACATGGTTTCTCCAACAAGACAGGCCAAGTTAAACACCCTGAAGCAGAAGAACACCTTTAAACTACAGACTTACACAGAGGGAAATAGACCTGGAAGGCTGTTTGAAGAAACGAATGGAGATGACCTCTACCGAGTTGAGGAAGCCTCCACGGAGGAAAATCCAGACCGAATTGAGATCATTCGAAATCAGGCACCCAAGAAAAGCCCTGCCCTTAAAGAACAGTGGAGTGCCTTAGAAAATCTGGACCTCAGTAACACTCCACAAAGGCTCCTGGATGGGTTTAGTTTGCTCTACAAACCAGTGAGTGCCAAGACTGAACAAGCCAGGGTTGAGCCTGAAGCCATAGACAAGGAGCAAATTGACTTCAATGCAGCACGAAAGCAGTTTCTAATAATGGAACAATCAAAAAAGAATGCCTTCCAACAGAGTCATCAGCATCTCCCTTACTCTCCCAAAATGCGAGGACGAACTATGTCCTCAACAGCCAGCATCTTTACTCCAAAAGAAGTAAGCAAAGAGAATAGTCTAGAAGAGAATCAGTTCACACTAGCATCACAACAAAAGACAGAAGTAAACACTGTGACTGTGACAGAAGATCAAAAAAATGGAGTTCTGAGTGTTGCTATAGATGATGTTGAATCTGATCTTGGTGAGCTAACAGTAGGTTATACCAGTAATGAGAGAATTTCAAATGACCCTTCCATTTCGGAGATGGGAAGCAGCTTGGCTTTGCTTAGTACGGAGGAGACTCCCATTCAAAGGGAAATTAGAATTTCTAGAGAACGAGAAGAGGATTTGCGGCGATCAAGGGGTATCTTGCGCACAGACATTTCAGAGATGGTGGAGATCAGGACAAAACCAATTCTTTCCTTTTCATCATCACAGATAAAAGCTGCAAAATCCAAGGAACCAAACAAAGTAAGCTTTCTTATTCAGAGAGAGCTTGAACTTGACAAACAACAACAGTTCCCAATCCCAGATCATAATCAAAAAAACCAAGCACTGGAAAAGAAGTCGGCATTTGAGTCACATCCACAAGAAATTCCAAACATATCTTTGAAGGCAAGTCAAAGAGAAAATGAACTAGAGCAAAGAACAGATTCTGCAGATGACATGTGGATTACAGAGCAACCTGTTCTATTAGAGGAAGGTGACCTCTCTGACACAAAGGAAGTTCTTTCCCCTTGCTGTCCACATCGACATCCTGATGAATCTACGCTTCAGAGAAGCACTGACTGCAGCACTTCTAGAAGCAAAGTCCAAATAGGTCCATATTCTGAGAAAAACGACTATTCTAAAGTAAGGGTTTATAATGAAAATGGTGTTGACAGCCAAAACAGTAATCCTAGAAGACAGAAAAAATACTCCTGGAATGTGGAAAATGACAATAACATGCTACAGAAGAACAGAGTATACTCTCCAACTATTCTGTCCCAACTGAATCTTGAAAAAACTAGGTACAGCCCTTCCTGGAGATCTCACCTTGAGCCAACCAATTGGAAACCTAAAATGCAGAATGCCCCAGACAGTATCCGCCAAGAAATCGAAGAGGACCTCAGAAGAGAACAAGAGCTTCAAGAGCTAAGAGAGTTTATCTCAGTACCCAACTCAGCTGTGACTTCGCTGAAAACTTCCTCTAAACCCAGATCTCCACTAATCGGGAGTGAGGAAAACTTATTATCACCAGAAACTCCAAAGAGGCACATAGAAGAAGTGGATTCTATGCCTCCAGAAAAGAAGACAGATCATAGTTCCCCTTATTCCTGGAGTCTGGCTACTTCCTCTGTATTCCAGTTATCCATGGCAGGTATAAGAATCTGTTTGGTCACAATGCACTTAAAACATGCTAAACATAGAAAATGGGTAAGGTGAAACTGCACACAGGTACCATTGTCATTCCAATTACCTGTTGCCAGGAAACAGTCCTATTGTTCTGTACAAATGCATTTCATAACTTTCTTGTTCATAGCTAACTGATTAACTTAAGTGTTAAAATGTTTATGGATGTCACCAGCACCAAGGAATGAGAAAGAATTGCCAACTTAGTTTCTGAACTTTGGACATAACATGGCATTCTGCTTCACTGAAGAATGATTAATCATTTACTTTGTGGATGTAAATCTACATTTCAAGTTAAGGTGTACTTTTCAAACAATCAAATGTCATGTTTTCCAATGTAATTTGTCCTGGTGGCTAGTGCCCTCTAGATATAGAGCAAGTCCACAGTACACAAATCAGTTCAGAATCTGTAATCATTGAATCATTGATCATCCTAATCAAGTTGATTCATAGAAGCTTTTGTTTCAGAAACACTCAGGAGAAAACATGACTAGCAAAAAAAGTCTAAACAAAATGTGTCAAAATACAGCAAAAAAAAGTATGGAAAAACAACTTTAATACATTAGCTAACATTAACTAATACACCTCATTTTACAGTGTAACCAATGTGTGAATGAAGCAGACTCATTTTTCCCTGTTTATCTTTCCAGATAAAAGTCAACAGATGTCCTCACCACTACAGAATTCCAGACTGCCTTCTATGTCAATAATAACACCCCAGCCTTGGGGCAACCAAAAGCCCATGTCCCCAACAGTTTCCTTGATAACCCCCATCAAACCCTTGAGTGCACCGGTTGACATGTTATCACCCACCTCTCAAAAAGGTCTGACTGAGACACTGCTCAAGGACTTTGAGGACAGGAAAATAAAACTGAAGCTGGAAGAAAGTGCAGTGAGTAGTCCCATTTAGCTGAATTTCACAAATGATTTAAAAAAAAGTGTGATTATAAAAAATAGAATTCATTATTTTTTTACCAAGAGACTGTTTTCAGACACTATTGACACAATACTGTGTTTTAACCACTTATAAAAGTGACTTTTGCATAATACGTCCCCTTTAAAACTAAGCTAATTTTTCTTTCCTCATTTCTTTATTTCTTTATAGTATGCTGGAATCCAACCTATCGATGCCATAAACAATGAGGTAAGATGAGGTTTTCAATGTCTTGTGCGTTCTGTTGATCCAGTTTGATCATGTTGTGTAACTGTGGTTTCTCTGCAGGTCGTAGAGGCCACCCGTGTAACAAGGCATAAAAACCAACGAGCCTTGCAGTGGGAGGCAGGCATGTACGCCAACCAGGAGAGCGAATGAATCGGCAGCAACTTAACAGATGTACCAACATAACAGCTGCAATCCTTCGTTGGACTGGATTTAACTCCATACTGCACTTACAAGCAAACTACACTTGCACCACCTCACTATATAAAGTCAATGCCTTTAAAACATGGACATTTCATTCACAGTTTAGCTATAGCTGTTCAGAATTGACTGGCATTATGGAATTAGGTGTAGGAGTGGAGAGCATCTTGCCTGCTTGAGGTGAAGTGTATACATTATACAGATTAGTAACATCCCCAACTGTCAAATAGTTTTTAGGTGAGGCTTGCTTTTTGAATGAGGAATAAAATTAAAGAAGTAAACTAAAACCACGGCCAAGTTTTTACACAAACAGAAGGGCCCATGAAATCTGAACATGGACACAAACTCATTTAGACACAAGCTTTTAGATTTAATGAAGTAATTTCTATTTTGAAATAATGCTGAATTTTGTTTTTTACTGAAAAACCTTTTTTCTAAATTGTTTTATTTTTTATCATTTGTATTGAATATTGAAGATGCTAATTATGGCTTTGGAGATTTTTGCAGTATTGTAAGCTAAATGTCTTATAACGATTGTCTTTTTAAAGTGCTACATTAAGGTTGTATTTTGTTTCAATAGTAGTCTGTGTTTAATATCAAGAGATGATACTGTTGTCTACTGTTTTTAATAATAATAATAATAATAGGCTGATCATGAAAGAGGTTTTCTTTCTACTTATATTTTAAGAAAACAAAAATAAATAATTGTTAAAGAATTTGGGTATTATTTGAGGTATTTGCTTGTGCGCTGTATTTCAAATTATTTCAATTTATGTTTATTTCTATAGCGCTTTTACAATGTAGATTGTGTCAAAGCAGCTTAACATAGAAGTTCTAGTAAACTGAATTTGTGTCAGTCCAGTTTTTAGAGTTCAGTTCAGTGCAATTTTAATTTCACTGCTGAAAGTCCAAACACTGAAGAGCAAATCCATCGATGCGCAGCTCCACAGGTCCAAATCCAAGCAAGCCAGTGGCAAGAAACAAAACTTCACCAATTGATGAATTTAAAGAAAATATAAACCTCAAGTGAAACCAGGCTCAGTTGGGCACAATCATTTCTCCTCTGACCAAACTTCCTGTGCAGAGCTACAGTCTAGGCACCGGAGGCTGGAGAACACTAGACGTCCATCATGGAGAAACCGCAGGTGTTCAGGCTGGCCCACAGGATCAATACAAAGACTTGTCTGTCACTGTGGTCTTTCAGAATCAGTCTCATGCTTTCAGGAATCAGTCTTGTGTTCAGTCTCAGTCTCAAGTATTTAAACTGCACCACTGTAGCCTATTTGTTGTGATAGTGATTCTGACTTTGTTTCATGTTTTAAAAGCTGAACCTTGTTAATATGTTGGGACAAATATGCTATTAATTTAAATAAGCAAGTAATTTAAAATTAGTAATTCTCGAAAAAAAAAACAACAAAAAAAAAAAACCTTTAAATCAGCTTAGAGTATGTGCAATAAATCTGAGTGTCTTGTTTGCTAATATTGACAAGCATCCCGCTCTCAGCATAGCCTACCTGCTGTCTTTCCTCACATGCATGGTTTCAGGTTCTAATACCTCTCTGAATATAACTGCAATTTCCGAAAGATTATTTTATCAAGCTAAATAATTACTGTTCAAAAACTATTTTTTTGATTATCCTTTGAATGCGGTACATGCATGACAATTGGACTACTGCGCCCCCTAGTGAATAAACATCATTAACATAACAATATAAATGCATGCATTTCAACTAGCCTAAATGTTTGGTCATTATTGAATAAAGCCATAAATGGTAAATAAATAAATAAATAAATAAATAAATAAATAAATAAATAAATAAATAAATAAAAATTCTAAGATTGAACCCTTATGTGTTGGTGACACTTTATGTTCTCCGGTAAAATAAGTGCAATCTCATGGATTTTACAAGCAGCAACAAGTTTCCTTTAAAAATCACTTTCATTTCAGTCACACAGCTTCTAACCTGCATTATCTTTTGCACTTTCAAATTAGTTAAAATCCATTCCTAGTGGATACACTCCTGTGAGTATGTATGCCAATTTCTTTCCCTGCATGAATCAACACTGAGATCTATATGAACGCATGAAACGTTTTATTGTGTGTGTGTGTGTGTGTGTACAATTTATCATGTTGCTCTGAAAACTGATATACAGGATAATCTCTAGACCATATGTAAAATACTTTGGCTTTTAGTGGTCAACCTGACTCTCTTAAAACAGTCATATGCTACTGAAGGTAAAATTATTCCTTTTTGTTACATTTTTTTTTTGTAACAAAGAGTGCTGTCAGAAAGGTGTATCTTTTTAACAGATTTTTTTTTAAAGAATAGTTTTAATAATTCATTTCAAATAAATATATTTTTTTGTCTTTATCATGATGACATTTTTAAATATTTTACTGGTTATTTCAGAAGCTACCATTCAGTCTAACATGCAATGAGCTATATATGCAGAGCTAGAGTTTTTGAGCCAATAATGAGCTTCCGGTAAAAGCTTTATGTGACTATTTTCAATTTCATAACATTCCTTTTACAGCATTGATGTTGGAATTTAATTCAAATATAATCAGATAAATAGACTTAAGCATCCATTTGGTAGTTAAACCATAAAAAGAGTTGAAAGAGTGTTTAAACACACACACCATCATTAGCAGCAGGGAAGTGCAGAAACTCATTTGAAAATACTGGGGTAAAATTAATTAGCATATTTTAAAGACATGGCGCGGAAAAATACAACTTAATGCAGTGCTTCTTGTTTGGTCTGATACCCACTTTACATCGTATCTCAGCCAGGCAGTGAAGATTGCTGTTTTTTAAAGAAATCAGGTCTTAACAAGGCGATTTTGTATGGGATGACAATTAACCGGAAGCCCTGGTGCTGGCTGACTAAAATTAAAAGTCTGTGTGCATAAATCCCATTTAAAGGATAGTCATCGTACCATAGTGGTATTATCTGTAGCTAACTAAAAAATTTAAATAAGTGGGCTAATAATATTGATCTTATATATAAAAGGCATCAATTAAATGTAAATAATTTATGTAAAAATTTACAGATTTTATTCCATCCAAGCTAAAAGACTTTTGCTTTAGAAAAAAATATTGTGTAAATATATTTTATTATATGAAATATTGTGAAAATGTCCTTGCTCTATTAAGAAATATCTGAAAAAAGTTCAAATTTCTTTTTCAAATATTTTCCAAATGTTGTTTAACAGAGCAAGGCAATTTTCACAGTATGTCTGATAGTATTTTTTCTTTTAGAGAATGTCTTATTTGTTTTATTTAGGCTAAAATAACAGCAGTTTTTAATAAAAAAAAAAAAATATATATATATATGCCCCTTTAACCTGTATAATTTTTTGATAGTCTACAGAACAAACCATCTTTTTATAATAACTAGCCTAATTGCCCTAACCTGCCTAGTTAACCCAATTAACTGAGTCAAGCCTTTAAATGTCACTTTAAGCTGTATAGAGGTGTCTTGAAAAATATCTAGTAAAATATTAACTACTGTCATCGTGGTAAATACAAAATAAATCAGTAATTAGAAATGAGTTAATAAAACTATTATGTTTAGAAATGTGTTGATAAAAATCTTCTCTTTGTTAAACAGAAATTGGGCAAAAATAAAAAGGGGGTTAACAATTCAGGGGGGCTAACAATTCTGACTTCAACTGTAGCCTATATTTATACATAGCATTTATACACCTACTTCTTTTGTCTTAAAGATTCAGACATCTTAAGATTCCATCCTGTCGATCAAATGGGGCCCATTCTGAGTTTAGTGGAGCCAGTGGTTGTCATCAATAAATTGGGGACATCTTTCTTTGAGATGGCCCTCACACAGACCGTGTACAACCGTTCGATGAAGGCAACAGCAGGAGATAGCAATCAAGCACAGGCAATGTCCTCACGCTTTCTTCTAATTCAGAGCGTGTTGTCCTCTGTGATGGCAATGTTGTCCATCATTCCACTGAGTCGTATGGCAGACCATCATGGACCTAAAGTCTTCTTGGTGTCATCTCAAATGGGTTCTGTTTTGGGCATGTTTACGCTTGTCATCTTCATGTACTGTGAGGTTCCCCTAGAGTTTCTTTACTTGGGATCTTTGTTGCATGGATTGAGCGGAGGTGGGCCAATGTTCTGGGCCGGGGTGGCTGCTTTGGCATCTCTGAGCTCAGAGCAGAGAAAACGCACTCTTAAACTCAACATCGTGGACTTCTGTTTTGGGATCGCAGGGGTTGTGGGAGGTCTGCTTTCTGGATATCTGTACCAAGTAGGACCATCAGTTCTCCTCCTGACAGCCATTTTGATCACCGCTGTTGCACTATTGTACTCTGTGTTCGCCCTCTCTGATTCAAGATTGTCTTTGCCTTATTCTGAGGGTGAGCCGCTTCTGCCAGAATCTGAAAGTGGGAAGACAATGGATCGAGTTTCTTTAGGGTTGCTAATGACATCCATGATGTTGTTCATGCTAGGAATGGTCGGAGCAGAAAATGTGCTCCAGCTGTTTGTGCTGAAGCCTCCTCTGAGCTGGGACTCAGTGTGGGCAGGATATGGCAGGGCCGCCACCAGCGCCATGTACCTCAGTAGTTTTTTAGCAGTCCTAAGTTTGTTCAATGTGATGGGGGACACAGCCCTTACACTTCTTGGTATTGTGTCCAACTGCACTGGGATGGCAATCATGGCATTCGCAATGGAAAGCTGGATCTATTTCCTGGGTGAGTTGATCTTAAGATAATTAAAAGTCTTTTTTATGTGTTCTGGGTGATATACATTGGAACATCACAGCTTGCAATACATGGATAAGTGTCCTAGAACAGGGGGTTTCAACAGAGGTGTTTGAAACCTTGGTAAACTCCTGAAGAACTTAACTTAAGTTTAAATAAATAAGAAAAAAAAAGCTAAATATAAGGTTTGTGTACTATTTAAGTTATCATTGTCTTAAAAATTTGGATATAGACTATTTCAATGTGGCAATATCATTGGCCCATGAACATTTCCTACTTGCTGTCAAACTATTTCGTAACTGTAACAAGATGTAATTGAATCATATCTTAACATTAAAACAGCTGTCATAACATTATCTAGCAATATGTGGACCTTTTTGGATTCTTGGAAGCTATGTAAATTAAAAATGTAATACAGGAAAGACGTTAGGACCATTTTATTGTTTACATCCCTCAAAATGGTCTATATGACACATGAGGACTTTTCAATTAACTTTTAATGCATAGTGTAATAGATAGTATAAAAATGTGTACCATCCATCAAAAAATTGTTAAATGGGAAAATATAACAATTAAAATACAGCACAATGGAAGATAAAATATACTTCAAATTCTACATCTTGAATAAAATGTGTATAACTTTCTTCAGAAGAAAAAATCTACCTCTACATATACAATGCTGATGCATATAAGACATCTGAAGATGAGGCTTTAAATATCTGACTTTATTTCACCATTACTGCTGGATTCACTTTGCATTATATAAAGTAAAAACAATCTTTTAAAGAGTATCCTTTCAAAGAGCCAGATTTGATGCAGTGGCCAGAAATATATTTAAGACAGAATACAAAAATGTTTGTTGAATTAATGAGGGTAGAGATAACAAAGAATTAAAACATACAAACATAAACATCTATTTATCCTGTGTGCACAGATCCATTTTTTAATGGTTATTTTGGGGCTTTTAAGTTTGTTTGTTTTTTTATCTGTGCAAATATTAATATGTTTTCATCTGCGATTGATTTTTATGACATCTTTAATTGTTACTCAAAATAAAATTATATTGCATCACTCCTGGTAATTCTGTTAATCAAATATTAACTGTTGGTTGCACCTGTAAACAGATATATTATTAAATAATTATTATTATTTATTGTATATTTTAAAAAATATTAAGTAATAACAAGTTCTTTTTAGGTTTAAATAAAATTGTAAGAAGCAGTTTTCTTCTGAAATGTTCACAGGTTTTTATACAAGTAGTACACTTAAAACAACAGTTCACCCATAAATGAAAATTGATTCACTATTTACTCATCTTTTTTTGTATTTAGCAAAAGAAAGAAACTCATAAAGGTTTGAAACAAGTAAAGGGTTCATATGGCTCATATGAATCTTTAACTCAAGTAAAGTAAACCTACTCAAGTGTTTTGAAAAAACAAAACATTTGGATTAATACAAATCTGAAAGTTATTTGACTTTAAGCGGCAAGGAACTCAAATTGCAACAGGTAACAGTAATGGAAGGGAAGAAATCTGAGAGATTAAAAAAAACTTAAAGAAACAACGGCATTAATGTCAAAAAAGGACCTTTATTTTTAAAAGTGTCTGAAGAACCAAAAATTGTGTGCAAAGATAAAGACACATTGATATACATCCATCAAGACAACATGCTTTAAGTTTTTTTTTTTTTTTTTGAAAACTTTTATTTAGAAAAGAAGAACTGCACAATATAAAACAGGAAGTAATCTGCGAGAGACTGGAATACAAGAACTGTACATACAATTACAAAGTGATAGGAAAATAAGTAACAAATAAGAAAAAGAAATAAAAAAGAAAAGAGAAGAAGATAAAGGAAGGGGAAGTATAAAATGAATTTAAAAACACAGAAAGCATTCAATATTAATTTACAGGAAGCATGTTTCTAAATTAACTTGCAGAATTTTTTTTTGTTAGATAAACATAGCTTTAAGTAAGGAATCAATTTTAATTAATAAATGAGCAAATGAGGGAGAGGATTTAAGAATTTGTTGTTTGTGGATGAAGAATTGTGCATATATTATGAAAAAGTGTGTGTATATATATATATATATATATATATATATATATATATATATATATATATATATATATATATATATATATATATATATATATATATATATATATATTCTTCATTTTTATTTTTACTATTAGAATAATAATATCTTTCAAGTTGAAGAGTTTTTTTCATTGATTGAGATTTATTTTGAAAAATTACAATTATGTAAATCTAGCCAAAACGTTTGTGAGATTTTACACGTAGAAAACGTGTCGACGTTTCCTCACTTTCCTGACAGAATAAAGTATTTGCAGTATCAGTAAATTTTGAGATAAATGCATTGACTTGGTATAATTTGTGTAGAATTTTCAAGTGAATTTTCTTTGCTTTGTTTGGGATTACATATTTATATAGAAGAAGCCATGTCCTTTTCCAATCAATATTTTGTATTAAAAGTGCAGGTGATCTGCCTGTTAATATAAATCTCTGAAAGTCCCTCCCCTGCCATCCACAGCTATGCCTCCTTAACACGACAAAAGATGACAACACAACTCTGTCTTGTGTTGAGCTAAAGCTAAATCTTGGCCGATGGCGATCAGGAATTACACTCATTACTTAGTCATACTTACATGCTATTTCTGACCGAATATTTAGAGTAGCGGTAAACTATATAGGGAGCGTATCACAGGTCGTCATTGTTAAAAAATCTGTTAAAACCAATGTAAATATTACACATACTTCAGCTCAGTAAAGCAGGCTAGGTGGAATAGCGTTATTTACTTGTTTTGTTTTTAAACTAAATAAAAATCTACATTATCGATGCTGTAAAAGGTCCCTTATGAAACTGAAAATAGTCACATCAATCCATCGCCGGAAGCGATAGATTTCAGTGGCTGAACAACACTTTTGTGCATATAACCCACTCAAAAGAACTCAATCTACATCAGCTTTGAGGGACTAAAATACTTTAAAATCATAACATTACCTGTCTAAGAGAAATACTTCAGCCATGTCGTCCTTCCTCCAGCGTGCAAAAGTAAATTCGATATTGATTCAGGATTTTAAGTTTTAAGTAATTTTAAGTTTTGATTTGCCATTTTTTTACCGCTCGCTCTCACGCTCACTCTCTCATGTACAAACAGTTGCGCAGTAGCTCAAATCTGCATTTGCTGACAGACAGTTTGAGCTTCTTATCAGAATTATGGGAGTTGTTAGGCTGACGCTATTTTAATTGGATGAACATTTTTTAGTTTTATGCCTTACCCAGAATATAAAAAAATACATTTAGATCATTTACTATCTTAATGCACCATTAACTCTGACCAACATGATTTTCCTCTTAGAGCAGTTAGATTTTTTTGTTGCAGAACTCGAAGAATAAGTTTGTTGTTGCATTTCTTATCATATATTCTAAAAACGTATTATAATAAGAAGGGTTTTATGGTTCTTTTATTTATATATTAAATATAATGTTTTGTTAAATGAATAATTTTTTTGTGATAGCATTTACAACAATGTTAAATTTCTTATATGGGATAGGAATCTGGTGAATTTTTATGAATTGTTTGTAAGTTAACAAGTTTTCCGAGTCATCAAATAAGGAAAATAAATGTAATATATCTCTGTCGTACTAATTTGCAAAAATTAATAAATAAATAAATAAATAAAGATTTATTTGTAATTGTGAGACAGCCAGAGGGATCATGATGTTTGCCTGTGTACCCATGCCAACACTGCGAGCTATGCTCTCCAAGAACCTGCATCCGCAACAATATGGTAAACTGCAAAGAAAACATACACACACACACAAATAAATAAATAAATATATATATATATATATATATATATATATATATATATATATATATATATATATATATATATATATATACACACACACACACACACACACATACTAGTGAGGTCTTATTGTTATAATGTTAAATAACTGATACAATAAATACTTTGTCTCTTGGCAGGCCGAGTCTTTGGGCTGCTCCAGTTGCTTCTGGCTGTGACTGATCTTTTATCAAACGTCTGTTTCACTTCCATTTACCCGCTAACTCTCAGGTGGTTCAGTGGCTTCTGCTTTATCCTCTCCTGTGCTATTAGTTATATCAGCGCTGTCCCGATCATGTAAGTAAATCTGATGAATCTGATGATTCTTCTCAGATAATGTATAACAGCTTATTTTGTTTTTCAGTTATCTAAGTGGCCGAACCTTGAGAGATGGAGCCATCTGAGAGGAGTGCCATTTACATGAAAATAGTTTAGATTCAATACTAAGGAGTCCCAAGAAGACATGGTGATGGATAAATAAATAAATAAATAAATAAATAAATAAATAAATAAATAGATAAATAAATAAAACTTGCCTAAAAACTTTGTATTCACTAAGAAAATCTTTGTGTGAAATAAAATGTTAGTGTTCCCAAGAATCAATGTTTTGTTAGATAACAAAAAACAAAACAATAACATGTAAAATTGTAACAAATGGGTTTCTGGTGGAACAGAAAAGTTTTATAAGCAAAAACAAATGTCTGTCTTGTCAAAAATATATTTTTATTATTAAAGTGGAAAAACCCTAAGCCAAATTGTAAAAATATACACTGATACTGACACGTCACATAAATACAGGAGAAGAATAGAACATTCCGTAAACATACCTTCTCTGCTGTCTGATCATGAATCCATTATTCTATAATTATTCTAATTATATTTTTAGCTCAGTTGGAGGTTTACATTTTTGTTGCACTGTATTTTGACATCTCTAAAATACCTTTAAATTAATCTTATTTTCATAAACAGCCTTTAATATGATGGTCCCTTACATATAAATATATTTTTTCTCCACATACCTATTTTATTTGGAACAATAAAAATATTAGATCTCTTAAAAATCTTTTTTTTTTTTTTTAGAACTGGTTTAATAAACATATACTTTTAGTTAGTAAGCTTTTAGATGCCCCTTTCTCATATGAAAAATGTATGCTTCAGTTCCCCTTCGGGGGGAACTCCAGCACTATAAGTGGATTTGATGTTCTAAATCCACGTATGGGAGATTCGGTTCAGAAGCTACTCGTCTGAAAGAGTATTGAACGGGCCAATTAAGAATGAATTGGCAGCGCAAGCCTGCGCAGGTGTGCGGCATATGTGCGGCAACTGAGTATATAAGCACACCTGGCGCCAGCAGACGCTATCCTTTTGGCTTCAGAGACTTTTCTGATCGAGCTTCATGAGGGTTCCTCCTGCTGTCTACAGCCACTTCGAGCGAACGATAGTCTCCCTGTCCAGAGCGAGTCCACGCAGCGGCAGATGGTCGAGCTGGGTTTCTCCCTTGCCTGGCGTCCCTTTGGGTCCGGTCCTCCAGAGCGGTGCGTATTGTTGCAAAGCATCCTAAAAGAGCAACACAGTCGTGCAGCACGTCCTTTTCAGGACGACGCTCCGACTGTCTGTTTCTGGTTGCGGGGGTTTCTTGGCTCCGGATGATGGGCACGATCACTGCATTACATGTTTGGGGGTCCAGCATGTTAATGTGGTGCTCGGGGGCGGTTCATGTTGTCACTGCGATGCCATGACCGTCGCGCAGTTGAGCTCGCGGCTAACTTTCGTGAGAGAGCGAGCCACCCCTGTCGCCTCCTGTTCTGCAGCGGGCGCTCGGGCAGATCTAAGGGCTTCAGCGAGAGATAATCCGCCGCCTAAGGGCTCGCGGACCTCTCGCTCCTCCAAGCGCTCCATCCAAGCTTCGGGCGCTGGGAGTGATCCGTCTAAATCAGATGGTTACTCTCACGCTCGCTGACACCGGAGATCAGATGTCCTCCGCGGCATCGGAGGGTGGGCTTTCATTGTCCGACGATGATCCGGACCCGCTCGCCCCCGCTCGACGTGTTAGCCATGCTTTCCCGGGCTGCGGACCGACTAGAGGGGCGTTCCCTTCTTCCCGGCGACGCACAGTAGGCTCACGCGGTCTTAAAGAGCACCTTTTTTCTGCTCGTGCTGCGTGTTCCTCCACTCTCACCATTCTTGGTGGTGGAGCGGCCAGGGGGTATGTGGCGATTCCTCAGGTTGAGTGTGCGATGGCGGTTAATCCGCGCAGCGCCTCTTCTTGGCGGGGTCTGCCTAGTCTCCCATCCAAAGCCTGTGAGTTTTCGGCTCCCTTGGAGCTAGAGCTTACAAAGCTACGGACCAGGCTGCATCCGCCTTGCATGCGATAGCCACCGACCAGCGCTACCAAGCGCAGGCGCTGGCCGAGCTGCACGAGGGTGGGTCCAACCCAGGCTTATGAGCTTCGCACCGCAGCCGACTAAAGCTCTTCGGACTACTAAGTCCGCTGCGTGTGCTTTGGGGAGGACGATGTCCACACTAGTGATCCAGGAGCCCCACCTCTAACAAAACTTGGTTGATATGCGCGAAGTTGACAAAGTCCGCTTTCTTGGCTCGCCCATATCCCAAGCTGGTCGGCGACACAGTCTGCGAATTCACCCAGGAATTCGAGGCAGTGAGAGAGCAGTCCGATGGGTGATGTCTAATCGGCGGCCCTGTAAGCCCGCTCCACCTGCCGTGCCATACATACCTGCTCCTCGCCGAAGGCGCCCGCCTACGAGAGCTGCACCGCCCCTGCACTCGCCTCTGGCGAAGCGAGCGCGTCGAGCACCTCGGAAGCAGGCAACTCCCCCTGCCCAGAACGCCGCTAAGTCCGGCAACGGACCGCGAAGCGTCCCTGGGACAGGTCATCTGGAGAGGAGGGAACTTGCTCTTTCCCCGCTGGAGGGCGGGGCGCCATTTCCAACGGCACCTTTTACTGCCATGAAATGAAAGTGCACTTTTCCACTTCCCCGGAGGTGACAGCCCGAAATCTGCCAGTTTGAGCTCAGCTCTCTAGCTCGTAGGTTCGGTGCACTCCGCCAGTGGCTCACGGGCACTGCAGGCCCTGCCAGCCTGGGACGCGCCGCCTCTCAGCTCGCAAGGTCTGCATGCTCCGCCAGCGGCTCACGGGCGCTGGGGGGACGGTCTCCTCCAGCTCTTCTGTGGGACCCTCGCGCTCCCCGGATTAGCACACCCGCTCCGCGCTGCCCCTCCACGGGTACGTCAACGATTGCTGCGATGACGTCATTAGCGAGGGCTCTGCCTGCCTGGTTAGCGCAGGCCAGCCCCTCGCGGTGGCTCATACGCGTGATCAGACTCGGCTACGAACTGCAGTTTCGAACGGCCTCCCAAGTTCACGGGCGTGTATTCACCAGGGTTAATCCCCTGTCCGCCCCTGTCTTGCGAGAGGAGATTGCTGCCCTCCTGGCGAAGGGTGCAATCGAGCCAGTACCTCCAGCCGAGATGGAGAGCGGGTTTTACAGCCCGTACTTCATCGTACCCAAAAAGAGCGGTGGGTCACGGTCAATCCTAGATCTGCGCGTTATGAATCGCTGCCTTTACAAGCTGTTGTTTAGAATGCTTACGCAGAAGCGCATCTTCTGATGCGTCCGCCCTCAGGATTGGTTTGCAGCCATGTCTCCATTTTTCCACGCCACCTTCAGTTCTGCGGTTTGCGTTCGAAGGTCGAGCATGGCAGTACAAGGTCCTCCCCTTCGGGCTCTCTCTGTCTCCGCGGGTCTTCACCAAACTCGCGGAGGGTGCCCTAGCGCCCCTTCGGCTCGCGGGCATCCGCATACTCAATTGTTTCGACGATTGGCTGGTTTTAGCCCACTCTCGGGAGTAATTGACTGCGCACAGAGATGAGGGGCTCCGGCATCTTTGCCGATTGGGGTTGCAGGTCAACTGGGAAAAGAGCAAACTCGCCCCGGTGCAGAGGATCTCTTTTCTCAGAATGGAGCTGGACTCGGTCACCATGGTAGCGCGCCTCTCCGGAGAGCGCGCTCGCCTGCTGCTGAACTGTCTGAGGGAGCTCGACAGCAAGTTAGTGGTCCCACTGAAATATTTTCAGAGGCTCCTGGGGCATATGGCTTCCGCTGCGGCTGTCACGCCGCTCGGATTGCTCCATATGAGACCACTTCAGCACTGGCTTCAAGATCGAGTTCCGAGACGCGCATGGCATGCGGGCACACACCGAGTCTCTGTTACTGCGCTGTGTCGCCGCACCCTCAGCCCCTGGAACGACCCCTCGCTCCTGCAGGCCGGTGTGCCTCTGGGACAGGCGTCCAGTCATGTTGTTGTTTTGACAGATGCTTCCAGCACAGGCTGGGGAGCCGTGTGTCGCGGACATGCAGCTGCGGGCCTGTGGGTAGGTGCCCAGCTGCATTGACATATCAATCGCCTAGAGCTGTTGGCAGTGTTTCTTGCTCTCCGCCGTTTTTCTCCGGTGCTGGAGCAGCAACACGTGCTGGTCAGGACGGACAGTACGGCGGCGGCGTATATCAACTTCATGGGGGGTATGCGCTCTCGCCGCATGTCTCAGCTCGCCCACCGTCTGCTCCTCTGGAGTCACCCGCGGTTGAAGTTGCTGCGCGCCATTTACATCCCAGGTATGCTCAACCGTGCAGCCGATGTGCTCTCACGGCAGCAGATTCACTCTGGAGAATGGAGACTCCACCGCGAGTCTGTCCAGCTGATATGGGCGCGATTCGGGGAGGCCCAGATCGATCTGTTGCTTCCCCCGAGAACGCTCATTGCCAGTTGTTTTACTCCCTGACCGAGGGCTCTCTCGGCACGGATGCACTGGCCCACAGCTGGCCTCGGGGCATACGCAAGTATGCGTTTCCCCCAGTCAGCCTGATCGCGCAGTTAATGTGCAAGGTCAGGGAGGACGAGGAACAGGTTCTGTTAGTTGCGCCCCTCTGGCCCAACCGGACCTGGATATCAGAGCTCTCCCTCCTCGCGACGGCCCTCCCTTGGCAGATCCCTTTGAGAGAGGACCTACTTTCTCAGGGACAAGGCACCGTCTGGCACCCTCGTCCCGATCTCTGGAACCTCCACGTGTGGTCCATAGACGCGAGGAAGACTTAGGTAACCTGCCGCCCGCGGTGGTTGATACCATCATTCAGGCTAGAGCCCCCTCTACGAGGCGCGCCTACGCCCTGAAGTGGAGTCTATTCACTGAGTGGTGTGTCTCTCGCAGAGAAGACCCCCGATCTTGCCAGATCAGTGTTGTGCTCTCTTTCCTTCAAGAGAAGCTGGACAGTAGGCTGTCTCCCTCCACTCTCAAGGTTTACGTTGCTGCCATCTCCGCTCACCATGACGCGGTGGCTGGCGGCACCATGGGAAAGCATAACCTCATCATCCAGTTCCTCAGAGG